AGCCATGTATAAAATCACACTCGCACCCTTGTCTTATTCAATGGATTCAAGAAGCAACCTGTGGATAGAAGGTATACTCCCACACTTGGTGTGTCGGAACCACTATATGCATTTTTCTTCACTTTTAATCTTTTTTGTTGAAACAAAATCAACTAAAAATCCCTTCAAAGGCCCTTTGGCATTGGCAGCTGAAAACCCTTGACCGTATATTTTGATCGCAGCGGCGTCATCACCCCCTTGGGGGCGTCGCCGTGGATTTCAAGTTCAATCCGGTTGTGTCTCTTCGACATCGACGGCCATGCTCGGAGCCTTTTTTTATGCCTCCTCGGCTCTGGTAGGACACGATCTCTCAGACTTGGGTGTCTATAGGCGGGGTTGCCGCTCCACGACCCGAGTGAGACAACATGGGGTCCTCTCGAGCAACAGCTTGTTGTGTGCATTCCATCGAAGTAACTTGGTCTCTCCTGGAGGCGCGAGTTCTTTTCTTGTCAGCAGCCTAGGGTGCTTCTCACTAGAGTGTGGTCACTCTTATATTCTTGTTATCTTGGTCCACTTTGCAAGACGATTTCCTCATCATCTTGTATCGGTTCGACCGTTTTGCTTTATATATAAAGCGGGGATAATCCTTTTTGGGTAAGGGAACTTTGGGGCGCCCTTTAGCTTCAAAATTTGTGGATTCCGTGCATGGAGTGACACCAAAAAGATCTTGCTGCACAACTTTCTCGAGCTGCACAACTTAGGATCTCTGTTTTCTTTTGAATCACGATTTTGCAACAAACCCATCACCCGGTGATAACATTTTGTCATCACCTTGCCGCAACTCGGTATCACCATTACTGCTAAAAAAATGCTCAGCATTACCATCTCGCCTTGACTCACTATTGCATTCTCTGCCCTCGGAAAGCTAATCCTATCATCGTTTCTGCAACACCTCAGTTCCTCTCATGCTTGCAGCTACTCCTATTGCCTTTGCACGGTCATAACGCATGTTCCATTCCTTGTGCCACCGCTAGTCTTCTCACCTAGCCACTTGCAGTATCACTGCTTCCCTCACCCAACCGTTCACGATGTTGCCATTGGTCTACTTCAATCCATGACAAAAAAAAACACCTACAAATTCAATGCAACACACAACCCTCAATATCCACAGATCGAAGTGGAACGACAACACCGCCCACTCTCCTTCCTCTGGGCAAGTGTTCAACATTTTGTTACGGAGTCGCTAAAGCAGAGGGCCAATATGCACTTGGAACTGCTTGTTATCATGAGGAGCATCAACTTCTCTATGCCATGGACGACAAACAAGCTTCTACTAAAGCTAGCAATTAGGAGAAAGATGCAAGGTTCTAGTGAGCGTGGCGATGCAGTGGAGCGTGTGTCCATTTCACTTGCACATCATGACTTCAGTCAACTCTAATATGCAGAGTACCTCTGAGCATGACTCCTCTAGCTAAGCACATACAGCCATGCAACGTGAGACTCGGGCTAGTTGTTACATAGAGATATCGACGTGTGAGATCATCCGTAGGAGCAGCCGGCCTTCTAGGTATATTCAAACAAAACCCATGTCTCGCCGCCACCGCCCACGGGCTCGGCAGCGGCTCTGCCGCTCTGGGTGCTGGTACGCCGTTGGGCCAACCTCCGATGCAGCAGGTGATGCTTGTAGTCAAGACGGCGCGCGAGCCAGCCGTGGCTTCTCCAGTTCTCCTGCCATGGACGTGCATGCATGCGATTAAGCAGCAAGCATGTGTCGAGTGTCGACCGGCCGCAGCTGCTACTGTTTCATACGTCGCCAAGTTCAGCGCTTATTCCTCGGCCGGTAACGCCATCGGCCGTGGCGTTTGTGCAAACGCAGCAGAGTTTGGCGTTTCAGACTGCCACGTCGGCAGGCCAGCAGCGTGGGAAGGTTTGGCGTTTCTACTTAGGGTCGAAATGCCACGGTTCTTGGAGTTTCTGAAAAGGGTCATATCATGAAATAAAATCTGAAGAAGTTCATTTTGTGCTAAAATTTTCTGGCAAGGTCAAAACAGTGATTTCAACGAGTGACTACTCAAATATTTGTTTTTTTAGAGATTTCAAATGGACTGGCACATACGGATGTATATACATATTTTAGAGTGTAGATTCTCTCATTTTGCTCCATATGTAGTCACTTGTTGAAATCTCTAGAAAGACGAATAGAATATTTAGGAACGGAGGGAGTACACATACGAAGCAAAATGAGTGAATCTACACTCTAAAATATGCCCGTTTGAAATTTGTAAAAATACAAATATTTAGGAACGAATGAGTATAATTTTGTGCATGGCACATGGACCCGGATGATGAAGAGGCTTTTGGCAATGCTATCAAGCTTCCATCATTTCTTTACATAATTGACGTACTATACAAATAATTTTCCAGCGAGACATGAAATTATACAATGGTGTGAGCTTTCATCAATGCTCTTTCGGAAACAATAAAAAACCAACTTCCTTGCTAATGCATGTCAATTATTAGCATATCAGAGCTAATAATTAATACATCACAACTGAAGACAGAGTTGTGAGAATGTGTTAAATTAAAATTGATCCATGCTTTCGTTGGCAGCATCGTCCCCCCAGCTCTGTCTAAATCAACAAGGCATGTTGGCAAAACTGAGAGTGACTACTCAAATATCACTGTTCTGACCTTCTCGACGATCTTTGTCACGAACTGAACTCGACATGAAAGTATTTCACAATCTGACCCTTTTAGAAACGCCACAGACCGCGACGTTTCTGCTTCACATAGAAACGCCGAGCTAGCTAGCGTTGCTGCTCCACATGAAAACGCCGAGGTATCTCGCGTTTCTTCTCCACATGGAAACGCCAACCGCTTTGGCGTTTCTTCCCTACATGGCAACGCTTTTGGCTTTGGCGTTTCATATGTGGCATAAAAAAATAGTACCAACTACCTGCAAGAATTGATGAATGCATACATGCATGGTTCCTGTAGCTAGCTAGTGGTAGTGGCCTTGCATGCACGAGTTGGTGGGTGTGCTGGCGCCTCCTGGCCAACAATGCCTCTAGCCCACACGCTCAGTCTCTTCTTTTTTTTAACACAGTTCTCTTTCTTACTCTCCAGTCTTCTAGTCTGAAGACGTATAGGAGCTAGTGCATGCATGCATGGATGGGTTGTTAAGTGCTAACTGCTGCCTGAATTGACCGGACAGAGGTGCTCGATTTCTTTACCGTACTCTACTCCATCTCTCTACCTGTCCTATTCAAGCTAGCTCGCCAGCTAGAAACGCCAAAGTTAATGGCGTTTGGGCCTGGGAAGGAACGCCAGGCATATTGGCGTTTCTATGTGGAACAAAAGCGCGAGATATCTCGGCGTTTACATATGGAGCAGCAACGCTAGCTAGCTCGGCGTTTCTATGTGAAGCAGAAACGCCGCGGTCTGTGATGTTTTTAAAAGGGTCAGATTGTGAAGTACTTTCATGTCAAGTTCACTTTGTGACAAAAATTGTCGAGAAGGTCAGAACAGTGATTTCGGCCACAGATGGAGTACTATTTAAGTAGCTTGACACAATCATAAGCTAGCAGGCTAACTAACTCAAGTTTTTGGGAAAAGCCAAGCTGGAGGCCACATACCATCCCGCGTCCCCAGCATGGATGCCGCTGATGTCTCCAACGGCAGCGGTGCTACTGTCTGGTCTCTCATGTTGTAGACACCAGAGTCGAGAAAGGGATTCTCACGAGTCCACTTCATAAGCAAGTCCCGGTTGGATATGGTGATAATGCTACCTTTGGTCAGAAAGTAAATGCAATCTTGTAGAATTCCGGTGCCGGCAGCGGCAGGGACCGACTGGGAGCAGCCTTGGCTGACAAAGAGCGCACACCCCATCAACGTACTGACAGCCCTCCACCGTCCACGGCCGCAGCTCAGGTCTGAGGCCTCGAAGACATCAAACCGGTAAGTCCGTTGCAGATCTATCCCCGTGTCACCCTTCCATGTCTGATATATTGATGGCACACGTATCATTCGTTTCACCCTCAGTAGCTGATCGCCGGACACGACGAGGTAGTCTCGACTGACATAATCATCATCGTTCCATATATGGACCCGCATGCCAGTGCCATGATGATAATCATCGTTGTTCCATAGATTGTCGAGGTCGTAATAATCATGGCTGGGGGTCGGGATTTTGCGTATGCAGCAGACGTTTGTGATCTGCTGATCGCCGGTGTCCAAGACATGCAGCTCCTCTTCTCGGGTGAGGACGTACAGCTTCCCTTTGAAGAGTGCAATGTCGGCGATGGAATTGTGTGCAGGCGGCCACCACTCCATGCCTGTTGGGCTGGCCCCCGCTGGCAGGTCGCCGCCGCCGTGACCGTGAGCATAGATGGAGACCCTTGAATCGCGCAGAACGGCGACGAGGTGAACGGACACCACGGCCTTGCTGATCTTATCTGTTGAAAACCAGAACGGTGGCTCAGGGAGAGTGACGGTGGCCGCGGAGAACGGGCTCGCCAGGGAGAACCTGCCGTCGTCGTGCACGAGGAAGAGCGCACCTCCGGTCGAGACTCCATAGTAGACATCGTCCGGGACGACGGGCAAGCGGTGAACGGCGCCGTCGGGGAGGCTGAGGAAGGTGCCGTCGGGGAGGGCTAGCCAGGGGAGCGGCGGCGGCAGCGGGTGCTGCAGCCTTGCGCCCGAGCGCCACGCGCGGCAGACGGCTGGTAGGCGGACCCGGTCGGCGTGCGAAGGCAGCCGCAGGAGCACGAGGCCCAGCAGCTCTGCCGGGAGATCCGGCCACGGAGAGCGGCGGCGGCAAGAGCCAGACGCGGCCATCGAGATCGTTAATTAGGGCTAGATACGTGACGTCTCCCTGCTGCACAATTTCTTCCCTTGTTTGAATCGTCGGATATGCACACGTTGAGATTCACGCATAGCTAGCCCTGCATATAACCGACTAATAACCGCAAAAATAACATTTTGCACACACAGGTAGTAGTCATCGTAGGAAGAGAATAACGATGCTCAAAAGTACATTTTGTGTTTATTCGCAATAACAAAAGGATGTACATAAATACTCCCTCCGTTAAGATTTTTTGCAATTTAATTTATTAAACTACAAAACGTCGTCCATTTGTTTACAGAGGGAGTATTAATTGAAGTGGCATTCAAAGTTCAAACTATGCTGAGAGTCGCGGCAAAGTACTCGGCAACATATTTACCGAGAGTCGCGGCAAAGTACTCAACAACATATTTATGAAAATACTTTTTTTCCTGACAGTAAATATTTGGCGAGCTCCCGCAGAAAGCGTACTCGGCAAACTATTTTTGAAATGTCTTTTTTTCTCTCTGGTAGTAACTGTTTGGCGAGCTCCTCTCCAACCTACTCCCTCCGTTCTAAATTACTTGTCTTGAATTTGTCTAGATACAGACGTATCTAGACTCATTTTAGTGCTAGATACATCCGTATCTAGACAAATCTAAGACAAGTAATTCGGAACGGAGGGAGTACTCGGCAACATATTTAGGAAAATACAATTTTCCCCTGGAAGTAAATGTCTGCCGAGATCCTTGCCGCTACAACTCGGCATAGTTCTTGGATGTACTCAGGTCTAGCCACGTGTCAAGTACTGTTGTAGCTTAAGTCAAATTAGGCTCGCTTGTTTAATGGCGAGCTCGCTCAAACTCGACTAGTTTGCACCCCTAGAAAACACCTTGGTAGGATTAAATATCGCCCTTGCACAAATATGTCTTCCCAAAATGCACACAGTAAAACTTAAGCACCTTTCACTTGTAAAATGTATTAAAAAAATAGGATTACAAAGGTGAATATTATATTATTAAAGTTTTTCTCATTTGAGACCAAAATTTAACCTGCTCTTCTTAGACAGAACCATTACATTTTTTAGGTGTAAACAGAGCCATTATCGACTACCTCTGTGCGTGATCCTAGTCTAATTATCTCAGTTGCAGGTGCCTAAAGGATGATCTTTTTTTTTTTACAACACCTAAAGGATGATCATAGTTAAGAGCAAAACTCAGTAACACAGTGATCATGATTCAGGGGCTAGTAAGACTCCCAAGTTTGTTGTGCTTCAGGTGAAAAGGAGATCGTTCAAGCACATAACATAGACACACGACTTGCTATGACGAACGAATGCACTATCTAACACATCCCATATAAGATCATCCATAAGACTTTTGAGGTGTACACAATCATGGTAATAAAGATAAAACACAGTAGCAGATCGCTATGGTAAAAGTCATGAGAAGCACCCAGGCAGGGTGGGATGACAGAGCTCCAGCAGAACAAGTGAGGCATATATATATGCGAGAACCGAACCTCCAACGCAACAGAACAGAAGAAAACCTGGTGGGTTGATCACACAGCTTCAGGAGGGAAGAACCATGTGGGCCGCCACTGTCCAACACGCTGCAGCGGTGCTGCTGCTGCCTCTGACATCAACGGCGTGATTGTGCCGTCCCTCATGCTGTACACACCAGAGTCGCAAAGAGGATTTGCAGAAGAGGTCGGCCAGACATAGTCACACATGAAGTAGATGCAATCCTCGTCGTATCCACTGCATCCCACAGCAGGCAGGCACTTGGAGCCATGTTGGCCAAGAAAGAGCGCATGGCCACCCAACTCAGTGGCCTTTCTCCATCGACCGGGGCTGGTGTGCAGGTCTGCCTCAAAGACCTGAAATGCGGCAGTACATTTATGTTCAAAGACATCGTAGCTTGTCGAACTTGGCGTGCAGCGAAACCATCTTGCCACCAGCAACAGTTTACCACCACATTCAACAAGATATGGTTTTACCATGTACTCCTCTGCTATGGACAAATGTTGCGGTGTTCCACCTATATCACCCAAAGAGTCAATTATGCAGCTGATGGATGAAATGGTACGGTCATTGCCCAAATCAATGATGAATAGCTGCCCGAAGCGACCCCATGCGTATAACTTCCCGTTGAAGAATACGACATCACTAAGGAACAATCGTGGATCCTTATTATCTCTGAGCGAGGCAGTAGCAATTGGTGGCTGGCTAATACAAAGTGTATGGAAACAACCATCGTCCATGATTAGTGCAACGACAGGGGAATGAGGTGACGAGTCCAGGGGAGAGGGCACCACCAACTTATAGAAAATTGGTTTACGGTCAGAGTGGTAACGTATCTCACGCTCCCAAACAGCCACTAGATTAGGAAGCTCCAGTGCGGTCTTGGAGAAAGGATTCATCAATGAGCACATATTAGCATTGTTAATGAGGAATAGCCAGTTGTCAATGGAGCCTTGGCAACAAGCACCTTCTGGTACAGGTATGCGGTGAATTTCACTACCTGGAATGCTGAGGAAAGTACCGTCTGGGAGGGTGAGCCACGGGAATGGCAGAGGAAGGGGCTGCAACATACTATTAGAGCGCCAGGTGCGACAGACTGCTCTTAGACGAACACGGTCAGACAGGGAGGGGAGGTACTTGAGAACAAGGCCCAGGAGTTCCGGCTGAAGATCTGACCAATGGCGATACATTGCAGCCTCCATCATACAAGTCTACAAGAGAAGACATAGGGTTCATAGTTAAACAGAGTAAGAACTGCAACTAGCAATACATATGCTTCTTGCACCATTCTAAGACCAAAGGTCATCAGCTCAATTTTATTAGAAAGCTGAAGAAGTTCAGACTATTTTGAAAATATGAAGATTCTGGGGAACCATAAATCCATCACAGAAAAATAAACTAGCAAAATTACATTCCCCATGCTAGCCTTGCACTACACACTTAAGCTTCTTGCACTTGGTAATAACAGCTGCAGTAGACAGTACACTAAGCACCATTTACTTGTCATCATAAGTCGTAACTGCAAGTCTGCAACTAAGATTAGACAGTATACTAACCACTATTTTTCTTGATAATGAGGTGGATGACTATGACACAAAAGATAATTCTCTGATTCCTTTTCCTCTAACTAGAAACGCCAACAGCAGCAGCCTGAGCATAACAATTTTGGAGGAATCATGTTCCCAATTTCTAATGTGTAATGTCCCAGTGTTAATGACACAGTTACAGCACAGATTACATTTTCGTTTTGTGTAGAAGAAAAAGCAGAGGAGGGCATTCTGTCAAGTAAAATTTGTAGAGAAAAAGAACTACCATCTTATTAAATTACAGACTGAAACTGAAACAATGCCTGCGCATTCCATCAGAAGCCAAGTATATCACTGAATAATTTACTTTACATCAGATCAAGACTCTGTTAGCAAGTGTAGATGAACTAAAAAACAAATGTCGGTCAGGTAAAGAGCAATTTGAAACATCTCAAACAAGTACTACATATCACTAAACATGATTTATCAGGTGTAATAAATCTACCAAACGAGAAGAAATAGCAATTTCACCCGCAAAAAAACAAAGGAAATAGTAATTTGGTCAGGCAAATTAAGTGGAATCTGCAAAAGAGATGCCATTTGTTTTCAGGGCACGGCGAAACTTACGCCGGTGCTCATCGGAGGCACATATTCCTAAGCATTTGTGGTCTACAACAGGTAAAATTTCCATCTCTAAGCACGGATCTACTGGAGGAGACAAGGTTGGCCAGGTACAGCGTCGATCCGCCCAACCAACATTTCCATCTCTAAGCACGGATCTACTGGAGGAGACAAGGTTGGCCAGGTACAGCGTCGATCCGCCCAACCAACCAAACTAACCCCTGACTAGAGATGGCGAGCAGGTGGAGGATCTGAGGAGCTAGGGCTTACAGCTTACTCCTGAGGTCTTCCTAATGGCCTCGCCTGCGAGGGAATCGATCCGGCGGCAGGAAGCGCCCGGGGCTTGGGAATCTCCGGCGAGGCGCACATCGGCGGTGAGGTGGGGATTGGGACCTGGCTGAGAGTTTGGGGTTTTTTAGGGGCGCCCCTTATGTCTCGCTTTAAGTGAGCACAGGGGCAAGCCTCGCGTTGGGGGGAGCCCAGATGGGCCGGCCCAGCCGCGCAGGAGGCCGCGGCCTTTTTTTTTTTCATTTTTCTGTTCTTGTTTTTTCCTTTATTTTTGTACTTCTCTTTATACTTTAAAATATTATACATCTTTCCCTAATAAGATGGGCGACGCTACGCGTCCACCGGCGGATCCGCGCGATACATCCGCCACCTCGATGACCGTTCGATTTACGCGCGTGTAGCCGTCGATCTCCTGGCACGCGGCTCGGTCGCCTCCCCCACTCATTAATTCCTGAAACAACGGTCGAGTTGCAGAAACAAGCGCTTTGTCCCGGCCCTGACAGACCCGCACCTCGCCTTCTCGACACACAATTCCCGAAACAACAAACCAGTTGCAAAAACAACGGCCGCATTACAGAAATAATCCTGAAACAATGATCGCGTTGCAGAAACAATTCCTGAAACAACGGTCGTGTTGCAGAAGTAATTCCTGAAACAACGCTTGCGTTGCAGAAACAACTATCATGTTGCAAAAATTTGGAGATTGCCGAAACAATTCCTGAAACAACGGCCGCGTTGCGCCGCCCGGCGAGCTTTCTCCGGCGCCTCCTTCCTTCCTCTGCTCCAACTCGTCACACCTCTCCTCTTGCTTGACCTGCCTCACTCTCTCTCACCTCCTTCTCCTTCTCTTCACAGGAAACCATGCCAACCGCCGCCGATTGCTTCGCCTCCAGTTGCTTTCCCGACGAGCTCGGGCCAGATCCGGCGCCCAGGGCAGGAGAGATGTGGGCGGTGGGGCGACCAGTTTCCTGGTGTGAGCGGAGGTGGCGCCTGGCTTCGAACACCCTGTCCAATCTGCACCATGAGAGAGATAGGAGAGAATAGAGTCATGGGCTGGGCGTTGCTTGAGAAATCGAGGGAAGGTGGAGACGTGCGTTGGACTCACATGGACACGTGTTGCACAGCGAAGGCGACGGGCGCGAAGTCTCTTTTCAGCCGGTTGATGCTGAGTCTTTTCCTAATAATAAAGCACAGATTGACTCCGTGGGTTCACCGTCACAATACGCCTTTTTCACATGTCATAATACGCTTTTACGATTTGTATAGATAAAATGGTAATATAAACGAGGTGGTACTAATTTAATTTTATGGAATTTTTATCCATCGTCTAGGAAAATTTTGTCCCAAGGCCGCTACGCGCCCAACAGGCTGGGCCTCTCCGCGCGCTACCTGGGCCACATCGTCAAGATGGAAAAACGATTCCTGATGGCCGACTCCTGCAACCGACAGGGCAGAAAAAGAATGAAAACTAATCCAATCCAATTGTGAATCAATATCCCAACCTCGGCTTCCATCTATGGGGAAGTAGCCAGCCGCACGGTACTATAGTAGAGACACGATAAATCCCACTCAAAAAAGAAAGAAAAGATAACATAGAGGCAAGGAGGGGACAATCCAGACGCGGCGGATCGACGGTCGGCGGGGTGCTCGTGCTGCCGGCGACGAACACACCACATAGAGGCAGGCAGGGAGGGGTCGGGGCGGTGATCGAGGTAGACTATGTCGGCGGCGGCTGCACATAGTGACTGGCGATCAGGAGGGTGTGGTGGCTTGTGTTGATGGGACGACGGATCCAGAGTGGAGGCCAGATTCAGACGCGGCGGATGGCGGGGTTCATCGGTCGGTGGGGTGCTGGACGCTGGTGCTGCTGGCGACGAACACAACACAGAGCAGAGGAACTCAGGTACCAGCAGCACAGTCCGCCACTAGCTTCTCTCTTTCCACGTCGCGGACAGCCGCAGACTTTGCGGTTGGGCACGTACTGAGGACTGGAGGAGCGCACGCACGCTGCGGTCGTTTAGGACCCCACACCGGCACGTTGCCGGGACACTTGCGGAGCTGGCCGGCAAAGGCACAGTACTGTGCGAGCTCAGCCGCGCGGCCCTTCTCAATGGTGGTGGAGCCGGCGTCGGCGAAGGCGTACATGGTGGCCATCTGAATCTGATAGTGGTATGTGATCCTGTTGAGGATGGACAAGGGATGTACTGACGCCTGACAAGACATCGACGGCCAGCATTGTATACGGGTTTAACTCCATGCAATCAAGTTGAATCGTTGAATCGGTGACGAATAGTTTGCTTGGTAGCTGCTTGTGGATTCTCCCGATCAGAGAGAGTAGGCTCGTAGTACGAGTTACTCTGTATTTTCATTGGACGCAGGCACTTGCGGGATGTTGCGACGCCCGCCGGACAATGCGGCGTGTCCGCTTGAACCCGTTTGTGATGATGCAGTCAGCCCAGTGGCAGCTTTGCGGGTTTTTGTTTGACGGAGCGGCGGGATGACCCGTCCATCTTGCAATCTGACGCAAGGGCGCGGCAGGCGCTGCTGCGGGATGCGAGAGGAGCTGTGGCATGTGGTCGCTGCGCTGCGGAAACGTGGAGGTGGATTGAATTGGTCTTCCCTGACGAAGACAATCTTCATGCTACCTGATGAAGACTGCAGCTATACCTGCATGAGTGCGACCCACAAAAAAATATAGATGCACATTTCTTTTGCGGGAAGAAAAAATTTAGATGTACATGTATACACAGGACGCTCTTGCTCTTAATGAAAAAACTAACTACACACATGAGTCTTTGTTTTGCCACAAAGATAATCCTATTTCGGGTACAATGACCAACCAAGATCATGTAAAAAATAGACTTTGTGTCAGGAAATTAAATAAACTCACAATGACAAAATAATTTTTCAATTTCTCTAAGAAAAAAAAATGAATTTGAGGTAACCTAAAATGATTATTAGCCTCCTTAGATTTCCTCAATTTAAAATTGTACCAGCATAATAAGGTTTGAAAAAGCAGAAATTTTGTTGGAAATGTCATCAATGAGATTTTGTATAGTAAAAAGCTCTCTTATTTTGTGCACAAAGACTACAACTAACATGCTAAAAAAACGACACTAGCAGTAGATACTCTATAGCTATAAATCTATGTATGAAATAATGCATGTCTTAGTAACTATTTTTGGCACTATTAATGTTGAATTGTAAATTAAGCTTTCACTGCTTATGCTATTAGTGCTTCACCATATTGAAATGATGGGCATGTACGCGTGGAGTGTCTTAAACAATTATTATTACGCCAAGGATTTTATTTCTCCCGTTGCAACGCACGGGCATGTTGCAGTACAGCTCAAGGCAGACCATAGATTACATGGCTAAGCAGCCCACCTGTTTTTTGTAATTGTTCACTCAAGATTGTGCATCATATCTCCAAATACTTCAAGGTCAATCTAAATGAAATTCAGAACTACATACGACATAATTACCTGCACGGGAAGATCATGAAATAATCTACATAAAATTCAGATTGGTTGAGCTACCTCGTGGTAGGACTGGAAAATCAATAGTTACTATGTGAGGCTCTTCCCTGTCATATCTTCCATGATCTGAACCACCGAGTTTCAGAAGCTCATAATTATATGCCAGATCGCTCAATCCTGATGAAGAAAAATTCAACAGTTAATTGCATTAAAGTTTCTGATACAACAGCATGTTGTACAAAAGTGAGTTAAATGAAGCACTACATGTTAGAGCATCTCCAGCTGCGCCCCCAACAAGGCCCCCCAGGCGATTTTTCGGCCGCCGACGCCAAAAGATCTGCCCAGTCGCGCCTCCAGGGGCCCATTTTTCGCCGGCTCGGGCCGAAATTGGC